GACGACATGCCGGGCATAGACCCAAGTATAATGGTGCATAGGCTTAATGTAGATCCTAGTCATAGGCCTGTGAGGCAAAAGCGTCGGCCTGTCGACGCCGAGTGAAGTAATGTAATTTGTAAAGAAGTCGAGCAGTTGCTACGAGCTAAATTCATAAGAGAGGTTCATTACCCCGCGTGGTTGTCTAATGTAGTTTTAGTTAACAAGTCCAACGGCAAATGGCACGTTTGCATTGACTTCACGAGCCTCAATAAGGCATGTCCGATAGACAGTTTCCCCCTGTCTCGGATAGATCAGCTCGTCGACGCAACGACAGGGCATGAACTCCTCTCTTTCATGGATGCCTACTCCGGGTACAATCAGATTCGGATGCATGTGCCTGACCAAGAGCATACTGCCTTTGTTACTGACCAAGGGCTGTATTGCTACAACGTCATGCCCTTCGGTCTGAAGAATGTCGGGGCGACCTACCAGCACATGGTCAACATGATGTTCGCCAAGTAGATTGGACGCAAAATGGAGGTATATGTAGAGGACATGTTGGTAAAAAGTAAGCAGACAAGCTCCCACTTAGCCGACCTGGCAGAGGCCTTCGACGTGCTTCGGAAGTATCAGATGAAGCTCAACCCGAGCAAGTGCGCCTTTGGGGTCTCGTCAGGAAAGTTCCTCGGGTTCATGGTCCACGAGCGCGGAATTGAAGCAAATCCAGACAAAATAAAAGCAGTCCTCGAGATAGAGGCACCGAAGAATATTAAGTAGCTACAGAGGTTGAATGGTCGATTGGCAGCCTTGAATCGCTTTGTATCTCGCTCCACTGACAAGTGTCACGCTTTCTTCCAAGTTCTGAGGAAAAAGGGTCGGTTCGAGTGGACCGACGATTACGAAGCTGCACTTCGGCAGTTGAAGTAGTACCTCAGCTCAGCTCCCTTGTTGTCAAAGCCGCTGCCTGGCGATGTACTCTACTTGTACCTAGCAGTGTCAGAAAATTCAGTGAGCTCAGTACTAGTCAGGGAGGGAGAAGGGCACCAGAGCCCAGTCTACTACACAAGCAAATCGTTGACCGAGGCCGAGGCTCGATACCCCTGTGTCGAAAAGCTGGCCCTGGCCTTGGTGACCTCGGCACGACGACTACGACCGTACTTCCAGGCGCACAAGATAATCGTTTTGACAAACTTCCCCTTGAGACAGATTTTCTACAAGCCCGAAACGTTGGGCCGACTGATGAAGTGGGCCCTAGAGCTCAGTGAGCATGACATCGCCTTCGAGCCGAGAACAACGTTGAAAGGTCAGGCCGCCGCAGACTTTGTTGCCGAGCTGACCCCATCTAGGCCAGGGGGCAATGTCCGTGACCAGTGGACACTCTATGTGGATGGWTCGTCTAATGAGAGAGGTTGTGGCGCAGCCATGCTGCTCCTCAGCCCCGGTGGCCTTCAGTTTGAGTCCGCACTCCGGTTTAGCTTCCGAGCTTCCAACAACGAAGNGAGGTTAGATTAAAGGACATAAAGGAGAAAAAGAGAAGAAGGGGAAGGAAATGAAGAGTAGGCACGAGCTTACCTCTGCAGCAAGAGCTATGGTCTTTCTCACTACCTGCACAGGGTTCTCGGGCGCCTGAACAGCTCGCTCTACACGGCGGGAGCTGGAGGATCTGACCTTCGTTGCTGCCTCGTGGATGCTGAGGAGAGAGAAGGCGAGCTTGAATGGCAGACGAAGCTCGTTGTACTGCCGCCGGCCCTGATGAGAACCGTCCTCCGAGTCGACCATGATGGGGGGAGATGGAGATCTAGAGTTAACATCTTCGAAGGGAAGTGTCTCCCTCACTCTCTTCCTTCGCAGCAGTGGAGTAGCCGACTCCTCGCCACCAACGACGGTCTGCAGAGGCTGAGCCTGAAGGGCCTGAAGTTTGGCCAAATTCGCCATCCCAGGGGCCGGGACGTCGACACTGCTCTTACGATGTCGAGCCTAAGGAGTTGCTGGAGGAATAGACGGGGCCGAAGCTCGTTGTCGCTTCGTGCGAGGAATTTTGAGGCCATCTCTGAAAAAGGGATGAGATCAGTAAACTAACGAGCAAAAAAGTGACAAGGTTAGTGATGAACGAGCTAAAAGTTTTGGGAAAAAGTTACCTTCAGGGGCTTTCCGCTTCTGTGAGCTGTGTTGCCGAGGTTTGGGGAGCTTCTTGAACTCGTCCGGTTGGTCGTGAGAACTGAGACCGCTAGAGAAAAGGTGGGAGTTCAAGACGAGTGCTTCACCCCACAGCGCGTACTTTAGGCTCCGACCTTGGGCTCGCCTGATGATCTCCCAAGACTTGTTGTCGATCCTCGAAACGGGGATGGCAGGGCTGCACCATGAAACCTTGTCAGAAGCAAAGACATGAAAAGAAGAGACAACCTAGATCATACCTAAGACACTCACCTACGTCTCCGAACTCGACTGGGACTTGGCAGGTCGGCTCACCCCCTCCGTCCCTCAGAAGCCACTCGCCAGAGACAAGGAACCAACACTCNGCAGTGGAGTAGCCGACTCCTCGCCACCAACGACGGTCTGCAAAGGCTGAGCCTGAAGGGCCTGAAGTTTGGCCAAGTTCGCCATCCCGGGGGCCGGGACGTCGGCACTACTAGTACGATGTCGAGCCTGAGGAGTTGCTGGAGAATAGACGGGGTCGAAGCTCGCTGTCGCTTCGTGCTGCTGAGTGCGAGGAATTTTGAGGCCATCTCTGAAAAGGGATGAGGTCAGTAAACTAAACGAGCAAAAAAGTGACAAGGTTAGTGATGAACGAGCTAAAAGTTTTGGGAAAAAGTTACCTTCAGGGGCTTTCCGTTTCTGTGAGCTGCGTTGCCGAGGTTTGAGGAGCTTCTTGAACTCGTCCGGTTGGTCATGAGAACTGAGACCGCTAGAGAAAAGGTGGGAGTTCGAGACGAGTGCTTCACCTCACAACGCGTACTTTAGGCTTCGACCTTGGGCTCACCTGATGATCTCCCAAGACTTGTTGTCGATCCTTGAAACGGGGGATGGCAGGGCTGCACCATGAGACTTCGTCAGAAGCAAAGACATGAAAATAAGAGACAACCTAGATCATACCTAAGACCTGTCTCTTATACACATCTATGCTAAACGACCTACAATAATACAAACGCGCGAAGCAATGGTCAGCTCGTAGGGACCTGGTTATCCCAAATGCACACCGCCGAGCTGAAGTGTTTGGCTCGTAAGCCGTTGTGTAAGTAAGAAATTACTAAGACTTGAGAAACTCAAACAACGAGGCCAAAACTAAAATTGAAGTTTGAGTTTAATTAAATTTCTCTAAGTATAGGGACCTCGGAGAGAACAACTCAAGTTCGGATGAAATTCGTTTTCATTGAATTTAAAGTTTGATGAAGAGCCGAGGTATTATTAAGGTTTAATTAAATTTCAACAAGTATAAGGACCGCAGAAAGAGTTACTCGGATCTAAACAAAAGATGTGTATAAGAGACAGCATTTTGAGACAACCCCCGGAGATGCTGACGCCGATCTCAAGCCCTTGGCCTTTCGCTCAGTGGGGGATAGATATAATCGGCCCGCTACCGACGGGGAAGGGACAGTTGAGATTCGCCATAGTAGCTGTAGATTACTTCACCAAGTGGGTGGAAGCGGAACCTCTGGCGTCTATTACCGAGGCGAAGGTCGTCAGCTTTGTATGGAAAAGCATAATATGCCGGTTCGGTATACCGAACGCCATCATTACTGACAATGGAAAGCAGTTTGACGGTGTCCGGTTTAATCAATCATGTCAACAGCTCAGCATACGTCACCTCAGCTAATCGCCTGCCCATCCGCAGTCTAATGGGCAAGTTGAAGCCATCAACAAGATCATCAAGCGTGGTCTGAAGACGAGGCTGGAATCTCTGAAAGGTCG